AAATTTGAATTTACACTTCAAATTTCACAAAATATAGCACTTAGGTACTTCAGTCTCGTTATTTTCATTTTCTCTTCGAATTTTTTTATTGCTTGTGAAGAATGATAACAAGGTATTCTTTTTTGATGTCATTGAAAAAGTAGGTAAATTATATCGAAAAAGAAAATACAATATATAAATAAAGTAAACTTGACTATAAAATATCACTTACAATCACAAAAATTATATAATATTTCTTAAATCGTGGTTTCAATACACAATCCATTATCAATTGACCAATGAAGTATAAACAAAACACCGAATAGTATGCATAGATTAATCATCATAACCAATTACTGTGTAATAGAATGTTATTTCATATTATCAAAATAACGTAAATTTGTTTATGATCTAATAATAGAATACAGGACACTGGATACAAATCAGTAACAAGCGTTATCATTTGGTCCACACTCTACTGAGATAAGAGATTGTGTATAATTTTGCCTATATTCGCTCCTTATTAATTATAATATTTTCAGATTTCATTCATCGTTAGTTGTGATTTGTGATTACTACTGATTACAGGTGATTACAGTTGTGGTACAAACATACTTGTAGGTAATTGAGGTCTATGGGTACAGACTAAAAAAAAAAAAAGGCCATGGGGGGTTTCTATCCCCCATATCCCCCCCCCCCGTAAATACGCCACTGATGTACGGTGGGATATACGTAATCCCACATATTGTAACTCCTGAGTTTCATACCTAAATTTTTATTTTTTTTTTTGATAATTGTTTTAAACATATTTTTAAATATGTATATCAAAAAAAAAATTTAAAAAAAAAAATTTAAATTCACGTGCAACTAAGGTCTGAAAAACATACAAAAACTTGTGCATGAAAGAGTTAAAGGTACTAGCACATTTCGAATATCTTCATCAGTTTTAATATTTATTTCTTTAACTTCATTAACTGCATTTACAATATTTTTTAATTCATTTGTTACAGGCCCAAATGATTTCACTTTTTCTTCTTCAATATATATGTTTCTTAAATCATTTTTATACCGCTTCTTCAGGTCATCTTTAAGTTTAATTATTTCATCTGCTTCCTTAACTGATGTTATACCTTTTCCTATTTCCACTTTTTTCATTGCAGATCCACCTCTTTTTCTACCTTTTTCACTAATTTAAAAAAAATATTTTTCATTTCCATCATATCCATTTAATATGAAAAAAAATTTTAATAAACAAATTTATATCATTATTTGGATAGACGTTGACGTTGACGTTATGCGTTGACGCTATGAGTTGAAGTTTACGTTGGTGATTTGCGTTTATGTTTATCTGAATTTATGTTGTTGAATTTATTATAAATTTGTTTATCTATTAAATTAATCGATATAAATCCAAACTTATTTTTCCAACAAATTGAACATAAAGATTTAAATTTATCAAAAGTTAAAAAATTACTTATCTTATCTTTCCATATTTTCCTAATATAAAAATCTGATCCCTCAAATAAAACTAAAAAATTACAATTTTGTCTTATTGATCTTGCCTCTAATAAGGTATAATTCTGGCCAATATAAATACATGAAATATTTTTGGATCTGGATCATACAAAATAATCTTTCATTTTTTCCTGTTATTCTAAAATATAATCATCAAAAACAACTAAACTATTTGGTTTACAATCATCAACAGATATTATCTCTTCATTGGTTATATATACCTCTTTATATACCTCATTTCTCAAATTTGTAAATATTTCTTTCATACCTTCATAAATTGGCTGCTCTATATTTTTTGTAAAAATATAAAGATTATCAAAATGAACCCAATAATTAACAATAATCAGTACGTGTTCCTCACTCGACAGAGCAGCACGTGTGTTACCTATGTAACCTAACCTTATTGCACCGATACCAGGTAATATGATTATTATATAATTATACTCCCAAATATCTACGGCAATCTCGAAATGAGTAGAAATACTCCGGGCAAAACGCCCTCCCCATCAAACCTCAGCAGAGCAAATTCCATACCCACGCTCCAAAAAAAAAAAAAAAACCCTCAACCACATCTACTAACAATTCCAAAGCAAATATATCACCATCAACCGTACCACTTCATTCAAACTCGCGGAGCTCATAACTACCGCGGACCGTTATTGCAGAAAACACCGCCACCGTCTCCGGCCTCTCAACACCTTCCGCCGCCACGACCACGACCCCGGCTGCAACCAACGCTGATAACACTAATTACACCAAACATACTGCCAACATTAGCAAAACCAGTACACTTTTCGCCGCGAACCACTCTACCCACCTCTACCCTCTCTACATCTGACGCCAGCCGATCTACACTCAACCCATCATCGCCTATCGGTACACACAACAAACTGAACTATGCCCTATCTACGGCCAACTCAAACACGCCGAAAATAGAACAGGCTATCGTTCTAAATCCGGTCGACGGACTATTAATTAAAGACTACATTTTAGCAATCGGACAAATTATCTCTCCAAGCAACATTATATTTGTATCAAACATTTCTATGGGCCGTGTATGCGTTTTCTTATCTAGCGAACAAATATTAAGTTCACTATTAGATAAATCACAAAGCAAACTAAAAATAAACGATCACATTATTCCTATACGCAGACTCCTCAATCCCGCTAAAATAATTATAATATCCAATGTATGCCCTTCTATCCCTAATCAGGCTATTCTGGATGCACTTATCCATATAAACATCTCACCATTATCTGAAATTACCTTTCTCAAAGCTGGCATAAAAGAAATAGGATATGAACACATACTGAGTTTTCGACGTCAAATCTATATTAAACACAAAGACATACCGAATCTCCCCGGTTCTATACTAATAAATGCTAATGAAACTAACTTCAGAATTTTCTTTACTGATGACACAATCACCTGCTACACATGCAAGTCGACAGGTCATACATCTATGACCTGTAATAAATATACAATAAACATCCAAAATACCTCTCAGACACCTAACCACCAGGATAACCAAAAACATCAGCCCACATCCTCAGAAGAAGAACAAAACCCCGAACTGTTAGAAAATATCCAAATGCCAGAAAGTCCATCATTTATCGAAGAAGACCCAAAAACCCACATGGAATGGACAGTTAAAACACCTACTCCTCCACCCAAATTCCAGCTCTAACAAACCCCGAATCAATACATCAACACATCACAACTACAGAAAGTCCACATATTTTACCCTCCACCACTAACCAAGATGTAAATATATTAAACACTTGTACCCAAGAACAAAACAAAAGACCTATATCTGATACAACTTCACAAAAATCACCTTCTTCCCCAAAATCCGATCAACAACCTACTAAAAAAAAACCAAAAGTACTCCCCAGCTCAAATCCATCTACCAAGCCAGAAGAAAAAAAATTGGACAACATTCTACAATCTACGGTACCATTTTTCTCCAGTACACAAAACAATAGCTCCATTACATATTTGCAATTTAAATTCTTATTAGAACATTTTGGAAATAAACAAATATTTATTTATTTTTATACACTCTTTGTGCGAAGATATTGGTTCGAACATTTCATCAACCTTTGAAACAATAGAAAAAATTCGCCCCTATATCGATGATCGATCAACGAAAATAAGGCTAACAAAACTTAGAAAACTATTATTCCAAAGTCTACCTCCAGGACAAAACCAATCTTCCTAATCCTCACAACCAACCATAGTACACTATACTAAATATATATTAAAAAAAAAAAAAAAAAATCTTATAAATTAAAAAAAAAAATTAATAAAACAAAAATATGAGCATAATTCAATGAAATATCGATGGATTCTATAAACGCAACGTAGACATCCAACGAATATTATATGACCTCAAACCTAATATTTTATGTTTCCAAGAAACTAATTTAAAACATACACAGTCAAGTCAAATTAAGGATTACAATGGATATTTCAAAAACCGCGTAAACCCAGGCAGAGCAAGCGGAGGTGTAGCAATATTCACCAAAGACAACATAGAAAGTGAAGAAGTATACTTAAACACACACTTAGAAGCTATAGCAGTATCTATCAAACTCCAAAAACAAATTTGCATATGTAACATATACCTTCCCGACAGCACCCCTCTTACCCTTCATGACTTATCGCAAATAATATCACAACTACCTAAACCCTTCGTTATTTTAGGAGATTTCAATAGCCGCAACACACTATGGGGCTCCTCATACACCGATAATCGAGGTAAGATCATGGAACGTCTTCTAGAAAGGTCTGATCTAATACTACTTAATAATGGCAAACCCACAAGACATAACCCAGTCAACTTTTCTGCAATCGACCTCTCTATTGCCTCTCCATCAATCGCACCTGACTTAGAATGGGATACACTCACATCATATAACGGAAGTGACCATTGACCCATACTACTCAATTTATTCAGCTTTACCCCCAAATCAGTTCCAATAAACAAATGGAGACTCAAAAACCCAAACTGGAACCTCTTTTCTACTTTAGTAGACCACGCATTACAAAATTCTGTTACCGATGAAGATACCCACATCACCTGCATCACACAAAATAAAATCGATGAACTCACACTTAATCTAACAAACTCTATCATTGGAGCAGCCACTGCTGCAATAGGAAAATCCGACCGTCCAGCCCCTCACAAAATAGTCCTTTGGTGGATAACATAGGCATATTAAAATTTGGGTGGGTGAGATACTTGAAGAGAGAAAGCGTCTTTTATTCTTTGGAAGTCGAGTTTATTTTGTTCTGTGAATGTCCAGGGAGTGTCTTTACAAATGAGATGAGAAAGGGGGTGTAGGAGAGAAGAGTGATTTTGTGAAAATTTACGATAGAAGTTGCAGAAGCCAAAAAATGATTGAAGGTCTTTTTTGTTACGGGGTTCAGGAAAATTTCGAAGGGCTTTAATTTTGTCAGGGTCCATTACCATACCTTTAGGGGATACGAAATGGCCGAGAAATTAAATTTGTTGTTTTATAAGATGACATTTTTTAATTTTTAATGTAAGACCTGCTTGGGAAATTTTATGGAAAATCCACCCAAGAGTGTCGAAGTGACTTTCGAAAGAAGGGGAAGAGACGAGGATATCGTCCACGTAGGTGTGAATATCGTCCGGGGACATACAGGGTATGGAATAATTATTTAATGCGGCCTCAAGGCCTTTGCCAAAGGCGGCATTGGAAATGTTCAGACCAAACGGGACAACACAGAACTGGTAGGACCGGCCATCGTACAAAAAACTGGTGTACTGACGTACAGATGAGTCTAGGGGAATTTGCCAGTATCCTGAGGAGAAATCTAATGAAGAAAAAAAAGATTTGTTATTAAATTTTGCTAAAATATCATCAATAGGAGGAGATGCGTCCCGAGTGGGGAGTATAATTGTGTTCAACTTCCGGGCATCGAGACATAGACGTATAGAACCATCAGTTTTTACCACGGTAACCAATGGGTTGTTATACGGGGCATCGGATCGTTCGATTACCCCCCATTGAAGCATTTTGTCGATTTCCTTTTGGACAGCAGAACGGCGAGAAAAGGGTTCAAGGTATGGTTTAATTTTATAGGGGTCATGGGGTTTAATGTTAAATTTATACGAGAAGAATTTATGGAGACCTGGTTTGTCTTGAAAGATGTGTTGATATTGTTGAAGGAGGGATGTCACTAAATTTTGTTGAGAACTATTGAGGGGAATGTCATTGAGAGCGATATTTTTTTCTGTTTCAAACGGGAGAGGTTGATATATTGAATTTGAAGGGGTTTCAGAAAGTGGGGGGAACTCGTTAGAGATATTAATATTTTTTAATGAATTTGCCAGACTGTTCGGGTCATGGTCAGCAATTAATTTAAAAGGTATGTTATTTGTTACAGAGGGGAGGGATATTTCTTTAGCATTATAGTCTATGGTCACCCCATTTTCTAGCAACCAATCAGCTCCCAAAATGATAGGTGTGGAGAGCTGGGGTACCACAATAAAAATACCAAACGTTTCGTAATTATGAATGGAAAAAGTTAAATATATCTGAGATTTTATTTTGACGGACTTGTTACTGAGAGCTGTTGTGAGTAATACATAATTGTGAGAGGAAAAAGGGGAATTTTGTGTTGAGAAGGGTCTAATGTTAAATTTTGAAAAAGTTCTTCCGAGATGGCGGATACTGAAGCACCGGAATCCAGGAGAGCATTATATGAATTATTAAAAAGTTTTAAAGAAATCTCAGGGCGATAATTTGGGGGAGGTGTGACTTCATGGTGCAGATCTAAAGGGTGAGTGAGAGTACAGAGTTGAGGACTTTGTGGGAGTGACACAGTACACGTCCTCGTGGGCCTAGTCGAAGCTAGTTTCCCGGAGGGGGCACGGCATGGTCTGGTGGAGAAGAAGGTTGAGCATTATTATTGTTTTGATATTGTGGTCTATTGAAGTTGTTATTACGGGGGGGGGGGGTATCTGTTTTGATTTGGAGGGCCAGATGAATGAGAATAAGAATTTTGTTGTTGAGAGTTGGGACGAGAATTATTGTTTGAATTACTATTGTTACTATGATTGTTTTGAGGGGAATTGGCACGTTGAAGGTATGTGAGCTGTTTGATTAATTCGTTAGTGGTGAGAATTCGGAGTCCCCTTAGGGCTAAGGATACATTATATGAAAAGTGGGAGGTAATCTGATCTACCATTTCCATCTGGTCGATAGGGGGCTGAAGATGACGTGCTCAACTTATCCAGTCCATGGCGTGTTCTGACATAGTGGCCTCATCACGTTGGTAATGGGGACGATATAACTCATATTGACCGCAGAAGGCTTTGGGACCAGAAATAGTCTCTAAACAGTTCTACAAAGTCATTGTAATTTACGGGAGGGGGAAGTAGAGTATTATACCAAAGTAATGCCTTGACGGTAAAGTTGTCACTGATAAAATTAATTTTTACTTTGTCAGAAACATTATGCATAAGAAAATATTGATCGACCTTGTCGAGAAAGTCAGCGGGATGGGTTGGAGAGAGTTGACCATTGTACTTAAGGATGCGGTGAGGGTCTAGAGAGATAGCAGAAGTGTAGGACAGGCTATTGGAAATGTTATTATTGTTAGAGAGGTTTGGATTATTTTGACAATTTGGAATGGCAGACATCGAATTACATGGGAGACTATTTATTTTAGAGATGTTGGGTAAAATGGTTGAAGAGAGAACTTTAGAAGTGACTAGTGGTTGAGTTGATCTTGGGGGTAAGGAAGAATTTATTTGAGGGGGGCGTTGATATACTGAAAATTGGGTTGAAGGGGGAGGGTTGACGGAAATGTTCTGGAGCCTATTCTCTAGAGCCGCCAGTCTCGAAGCTTGACCTTCGGTAGTGCAGATCCGGTCAGAAAGTGATTTAATTTTCTCGTTGATGCTACGCTGTACACTATTCATATGATTAATACTTTCATTTAACGTGGTGGAGTGGGAATTATCATTGCTAGTTACTAAATCACTGATGTTACCCTGTATGTGTACGCGAGTACATAGGTCGTGGAACTTTTCATCGTATTCGGTAAACCGAAGGGCAAAGGAGTCGAGTTGTTGATGGAAGACCTTATTCATATCATCTATCTGCCGTTGGAGGGAGGCTAGGGATGGAGTGGTTGTTTCGGTTAGGGAGAAGTCTTTCTCGTTGGGGTTACTCATAGTGAGGTCGAAATCGGTAGCAGGGAGTACAGGGGAGTGATAATAGCTTGAGGGATTGTATCTGTCAGGCGGTTTATTCTGTCGTTGACCAGCACTATGCATGAGACAGTATTGGTAGCAGGGGGAAGAGAAAATTGAAAAGGAATAAACACTAGTTTTTTTTTTTTTTTTTAACGTGGGGGGAGCTCACGGTAACTTCAACAGCACAGTAGGCAGAACAATTACAATATAAATAATAAAAATAAAATAAAATAGTTATAGGGGTTAAGGGGATAAGGCCCTTTATAAAATAATTACAATAAAATACTAACTTCTCAAGAAAGAGAATAATAAACTAAATATTTGTAATATTAATGAATCAATAAAGCAATGAACAGGATAATAAAGATAATAAGTATGAATTAATCTGATAAATAATAATAATAGTATATATGATAATGTAATAGGTTTGACCCAAAGTCACAAAAATATTTGTATTTATAATATAAGATGGCAAGATAAATAAATAAGTAATGTCCACAGACAAATAGATAGAATTAATCTTAACAGGATTAGTTTATACTAAATAACTAGAAAACAGTGATAAATAAGTAGAATGGATAATATGATATAATATTATGCTCATATTTAGGTGTACTAGAATGACCAGGTCAAAGTTTCCTACACCAGTATCTCAAACAGTCAGTCGTGTAATGTATATAATAATAAAATGGAAAACCTACCTAACGTTGGATATTTTGTTATATAAAGGGGATGTTATAATAATATTTCCTTACTAAATTGATTGAGTGTGGAAGGAGAGAAAAAAAAATAAGTGTATGACTTAGAATTAATTCCTTGCAAGAGAATAATTATTTAATTTAATTTTATAATTTTACTAAATTATTGAGTATAATATATTGAACTTTTAAATTAGGGAATTTCAACTGATAATAATAACTGTGTTCCCAACACATTAATTTAATAGTTGAATGAAAAATTATACTTGGGTTTTTTCCTAACCTTTTAAATTGATAATTGAATAAAAATAATTGTGTATGTTCTGCCAAGGGAAATGTGTTCAGAAAGAACATAATTTTATAATTTATAATGACATAATTCATATGATAAGATATAATAACTATATTGATCTGCAGATCTAGAACCTAACATAATAATATAATAGTAAGCACCTTTAAGCTCAAACATTTTATAATAATAATAATCCGCAGATTTTAACCTAATAATACTAATATTTTGACCGTGTGGTCTGGGGGAATATATAAGTTATCGCAGCAAAATACAAAATTGAACCTAGCAATGTTACAAGGGTGGAGGTACGGGTCCAGGGAAAACTAACAAGGGGGGAAAAAACAAGGGGAAAATATTAATATGCAAACCAAAGGGAAATAGACGGGTCGCAGTGTCCGGGGGTCTCGTTGCCGCAGTTATCAGCCAACCGTCACCGCCGAACTCCACTGCCGCCTCCACGATGCACACACAGACAGGAACAATTTCTGAAAATATGAACTGGATAACAAACATTCATGGTGGGAACATAAACAAATTATAATAAATGAATATTTACCTTGGCAGTGCAACATTTTGCTTTTATTATAATATGAAACAGTATTTTTTTTTTTTTTTTTTTTTTTTAACCAAGAGTAAATAATTTTAATGTAATAATGGGTGCGTTCGTCTTGGACGCTTTTGCGATTGCAGTGCTCCCGATAACGATACCGTTCGTCTTGGCATAAGCGCTAGTAAGCAATGTCCAAGACGAACGCAATTTATTATTCGGGCGCGATAATTTCAATGTTATCACTTTATGAGTTATCACGTTCACGTTTTTAATAATCAAAATAATTATTATAAATTCTAATTAGTAATAGCCCATAGTTACCTCATTATTAATGGATGAATTTAATGACGAAGTGTTAGTTGGACTAGCTTTACAACTAGTTGGAGATGTTTTATTTTTCTCTTCGTCGGAATATAGTGAGGACGATGACCACGATTTTGAACTTGCAGTGCCGTTTGTGGCCAAAAATGGCAATAACTAGAATGGACATTGATGTGGAAAAGATTGTACCTCAGTTTGACGATGGACAATTCAAATCCCATTTCCGGTTTTTACTTTAATTTTGGTTACCTATAAGCATCAGAACTTTACTCATAATATTTTAAAATTATTAATATATATAATTTATAGAATGCTCCCTGAAACGTTTGAATTCATATTGAAAATAATTGCACCAAAATTGGTTTGAAAAAAACCTGGCTGTCCAACCTAGTCACCTAATAAGCAGTTGCTTTTAGCAATTTGGAAAATGGCAACCCCAGATTCATACAGGTTCGTTTTTTAAGTTACTATTAGAATTTCAAACTAGGTAGTTGTTTTACCTCATATAAGTTTACAGGTCAATTTGTGAAAAATTCAATGTAGGGAGGGCAACTGCGTTGAAATGTGTGAGAAGAGTGGTTAATGCTTTAGAAATTCTAGCACCGGCTTTTATTGCTTGGCCTAATGAGGAAAGATCAATGGTCATTAGAAATGGATTTTTTGCCACCAGTAACTTTCCTAATGTCATCGGTGCAATAGATGGAACCCATATTAATATTCCTGCACCTCATGATCATCCAGAGTCTTACGTGAACAGGAAAGGTCACCATTCGATTCAACTTCAAGTATGTTACGTTATTTTTTGATCTGAGTTATCACTTATCAGTTGTTCGTTGAATCTTAATTTGTAAATTGCCACTAACAATCAAGCTTTAACACTGAACTAAATCTTAAATTTTTATATTTTGAAAAAATAAACAGCAATGTTTAGAGTTGAGAATAGGTGGATTGGCAAAACCACAATAGTTATTACTGCGATGTATAGTAATAAATGGCATAATAATATCCATAACAACTTCTTTGGAGAACCCAAATTAAAAAATATAGTTAAAAATACATTAAATTTGTGCTTAATGTGCTACATGTGTACAACTGAATCTATTAAAAAATATTTATTTCACTGTATAATTATTATAATGTAAAATATATACAGAAGTACAATAAATAGTTCCTATAAAAGCTTCCTTACTGTATCTTTTGTAAAATTGTAGAGGAGAAAATAATTCAATGAGTTTTCATGATCTCTGAGCAAAAGATCATCGTCCGGTCAATTGTTAGTCGTTAATCATATGTATATGTATACCTACCTCAATGCTACAAAAATAAAATCATTATTCTGGTTGAAGACTATTTTTGTATTTACTTTATTGACAACTTCTATGTAGTAGGTATGTAGTAAAAACTACACATTTTTTTATATAAAAAAATAAAGTGATATTTTAAATAAAAAATTATAAATATAGCTATCGTTGGTAGGAATATAGGAATTATGACAGGAGGAGCTAAAATAAAATTTAGGGTGCTCAGCTCCCCTCCTCCAAGTCCCCCCTCCCATAGTTATGCCTGTGACTGCTTAGGTGACCCTTAAATTAATTTTAAGTAACACTTAAATGGCTGTGTATAAGGCGGTTTGTGTAGTTGAATTAGATAACAATTAATCATAAATTGAATAGATATTAATATGTTTTATAGGCCGTTTGTGACCATCAGTGTAAAGTTATCACTGTTATGCTGGAAACGTTGGATCAGTTCATGACCAACGAGTGTTTCGCTTATCTTATTTAAACGAAGACATTCACAACCCTAGCAAATTTTTAAACAAATCTCATATTATTGGTGATGCAGCTTACACATTGCAAGAACACTTATTAGTACCTTACCGTGACAATGGGCATCTCACCGAAACACAGAAAACTTCAATTTTTGTCATTCATCAGCAAAAATGGCAATTGAAAGGTCTTTTGGATTGCTTAAAGGGCGTTTTCGCAGTCTCCTCACCACACTTGCTATGGAGCGTGTGGATCTCATTCCAAAATACATTATAGCATGCTGTGTATTACACAATATATGTTTATTGAAGAATGATGATTTTCCAAGTACAGTTGAGTTATTACCAGAAGCCGTACAATATCATGATCAAGTAGGAGGCAATGTTGCTGTAAACCGACTAGGGTTAATTAAGAGATATGACATTTGTGAACGTCTATTGTGAACGTCTTTGTGATTGTCTATTCGTAATGTATAATTAAAATAATATGTATTTTTAAACATTAAAAATTCTGATTGCAGTGGAATATACATACTTGTTAAACATATTAATCACTGTTTGCATCAAATAATATAATAATTTGTCTCAAATTACCAACTAAAAGTCACTCGTCTTTGAATTTATCCAATACCGTCAATTTCCCAATAAACAAATGTACACAAAATCAAAACCATTATTTAATCAAATTCATATTATCTTTGAGTTTCTACATAAACATGTGTAGATACAATAAATCTAAAGACAGTATCAACTCCATAGTAATATGTGAAGAAACATATTACATATTGTAGCGAGCTGTGACTATTTCTTAAATAACTATTTAACAATATAAAACTCATTCTAATATTATGTACGTAATCATATAATCATATAATAGGCGCGCCGCGTAAATATAATATAATAGTAATACGCGAGCGTTGCTCGCGTAAAAGTCAATAATAGTGATAATAATAACGTCGCTGGCACCATATATACAGTACTTGTGTAGTGGAGCGACGACAGCATATATACAGCGCGAAGATAATAATAATCGAACGCATGACCATGAACGGCGAGCGGCAATAGATATATGACTACGTATATAAATAATTCTAAAATACTGTGAACTAGGATTTGTGATGTTATACTAAATTACTTATCTGATGACATCCGGCGCGTGCAGCGACGACCGGGTGACAAATCCCACAATAGGCCTAACCGCAGGATGACCATGTATGATCATGTGAATCTGTGGAAGGGACTGGAGAGACCCATCAAGGAGAGCTGATGGACGAGCGTTCATCAGACGAGCAACCAGCCTCAACTTTACAGTCACTAATTACTCATAGTCACAACTCGCTTAGTCAATTATTGGACTTAGAATATTTTCTATAAAAACTGTTTACATAATAAATACAATAAATACTATCAAAAGAGGTTTTGTTCAATTACTGCTTCCATTTCAACAAAAAACGCTGTTCGGCACGTTACAATATTATAATGTGCTAATATAATATAGGCATATAGCTATTATAATAGCTGTGACCACTCTACTCATGAAATGTAAATCAAAATTAGTTGTCACAAAAGTAATGTTAAACCTAGCGTTAACGTGTGTAGAATTAGAGTAAAACGTGTAAAATGACATCTTTTAACAAGAGATGCATTTGTTTTAAATTGTTTATAACGTCATGGGTTATTATAAATTCGGCATTTTATTATAACCCAAAATATTTTAAGTGTGTTACCCTGGCACCCTAAGGTCAACATTTTGACTTGAAAACTGCTTGGTAATATTTAATCTATTATGTAATGATTTTTAAACACAAAAAAAAACAATTTTGTAACTAAACTGGTGCCCCGGAAAACTACATGCCTAGAATTATAGTAAGTATAATTATTAATATAATATATGCGATATGTTTTAATAATATATTATGTATTGATTAATGTATATACTATAAAGTATGTATTATTGGGCTATTCAATGATATAATTTATTATTAATATAATATACAATACATCAGTAGTATATTAGCATAATATCATAAGGTGCATAATATGTATGAGCATACACGTAAAGGACAAGGTACACCTAACTAATAAGTGAATTCTGCCATTTTTATTCTATCAAGAATAATTATTCTAATTGGGTAGGTAAATTGTTTTATTTAATTAAGATATTTTTTTATTGAAAGTTCTTAAAAAATCTTTATTGAAAAAAAAAAATCTAAATTCAATAAAAAAATACATTTAATAAAATATATAATATATTTGATAAAATAGGTATCTACCTATATTTAATAAAAATATTAATATACTTTCAAGTACCCATATTTTTAAATATAGAGATTCTGAATAATAATTACATGCCAACTTTTAAAATAAGAGGACAACTGTATCATAGGATAGGATATTTGATGCCAAAACCAAATGAACAAGTCAAATTTTTACAAATTAATTTTATTGGAGAAGAAGAACAACAGTGCAGTAAGGTTAGAGTGGGTCAGCTAGTATAATATAAAAAGAATAAATTAAAACATAACAGTCTGTCTTACTTTATTGTCTTTACTTAGTTTTATTAATCAACATTAAAATAAAATAACATATATTTAACAAGTCTTTTTGTTAACAATGAATAATACATAATTAGTCTTTAATCTCAAAAACAATAACAATTCAATTTAAAACATAACAGTCTGTCTTAATGTTTTTACTTAGTTTTATATTAATCAACATTAAAATAAAATAACATATATTGAACAAGTCTTTTTGTTAACAATGAATAATATATAATTAATAGTCTTTAATCTCAAAAACAATAACAACTCAAATTATAAAAGGTAAAAAAGTAATCAAAATAGATAATGAAAAGAAAACACATCATGTTTTTTTTTCTAAAACAGCAACTATTCTTGCTAGAAGACCAAGAGCCTCTTTTTTTTGTTCAATTTTTTCTACATGTCTCTTTTCTCTACTTTCCTCTGATATTTTTCTGTTTTCTTCAATAGCAAATATAACCTTATCCACAGAAGGCATTTGATTTAACTTTTTCCTTGGTTGGTCATAATTATTGGAGTTAACAGTAAGAACAGAAGAGTATTCTGGTTCAGAATTAACTCTTTTTCTAGAGAATGATGCAGTGGCAACAGGTGATATACAAGGCTTGGATCCAATCAAACCATCCAATAAATCGAAATCGGCCCATGTTCGAGTTACATTCCCCGACTTCCCATTGTGGTCCTTCATAGATTTATAAGTTCTTTTTAAGCTACCAAATTTCGACTGACATTGTGGACCAGTAACTTGATGGTTTTTTTTTATCAATGCCTCAGCTATATTTTGCCAATTTTTTTTTTGAGATATCCGCCCCGAATAGAAGTCATCAGTTCTTTTCTAAATTCTTCAACAAGAAGCAGTATTGCCTCATGAGGCCACTTAAAAACATTATTTTCAGTCTCAGTATTTATATTGTTTATCATTGAAATTTCATTTTGATCAACTGACACAACTTCATCAGCTACAAATTCTTCAACAAATCTCCTATATTTGGCTTTCTTTAACATTTTTTCCCCAAATGATATATCTAAACACATAAATAGTTACATTATATAGCATTCTTTTTATAATCCAAAATACATGTACACATAACACATATATTATGAATATTATACTCAACAACTCAAGTCTTATTTCAAGTAATAATGATCAAAATATCTTACCAAAAAATACCAACCACCGACCTACCCAAAAATCCTATCTTATTACACATTATGTTTAGTGATTTAATTAGTAATATTATAAATTAATAATAATTTTTAACTTTACATAGTTATAAATACTTATATATAAACATGATTTTAATTTTGAGAATCAAGCTAAGTTATTAAGTTAACTAACTAGGTAAGAATAAGATAAAAAGTTAAAACAAAATTAATTTTTTAATAAGTTAATGCACTTTTACATTTCATTCTTAACCGCTTTCTTATTTCATACTATATCTATTATTCTTATGTATTAGGTACCAATCGGAAGTGGTAATCGGAAAAAAATACCCCAACAAACGACCACGGCAAAAAATCCCCGACCCTAGGAAAAAAAATCCGCATTATTACTCACAACCACATGTAAATGGTTGAACATATATTTTTAAACGTTAATTAGTATCTTTAACTACAATTAACATTATTAATATTTAATTACAGATATGTATATCAAATAATATTTTGTTTTATATTACGATAATACCTTTATTATGTATTATTCTGTAAAATTTAAACTAGGGACAATTTGCAAATTATAATAATGTAGTAAAATAAAAATAATTATCAAACATTATAGTTATAAAGTAGTATGTACCTATCACGTATCACTGTAACAACTAGTATAGTATATAAAAATATTTCGAATGATCGATAGATACGTCAAATAATCCAGTTAAAAACATGACATACAAAAATATTTAAAATACACAAGTAAAACAAAATATAGGTAATAATAATAATAATTTTTAAACAATAATTATTGAATGGTAGGCACCTACTCACAGTAAAAACATAGCATATAAACATCTTAAAGAGCTAAATTATACGTATTTGTAATTAAATATTAATAATGTGGGAATTATAGAGGTACGTCGTCCTGGCACCCGTAAGTCATCATAATCCCCCCTTACCTATCTCATTTTTTTGTACCCGATTTGTATCCATTTGAACCCCCCTTAAAAAAATTTGTACCCCTCTGTTTTTTACGGAAAACCAAATCCCCCGTCCGGGTGCTGTGACGACGTCGTCCTGGCACCCGGAACCACCAAAAGTCAACCGATCGATCCCGGACGTATTTCATTTTTTTGTACCCGATTTGTATCCATTTGAACCCTCCTCAAAAAATTTTGTAGCCCACTAACTTTTACTCAAAATTGAATCCCCCGTCCGGGTGCTGTAAAACCGTCGTCCTGGCACCCGGAACCACCAAAAGTCAACCGATCGATCCCGAACGTATTTCATTTTTTTGTACCCGATTTGTATCCATTTGAACCCTCCTTAAAAAAATTTGTGCCCTTCTCCTTTTTACGGAAAACCAAATTCCCCGTCCGGGTGCTGTAAAATCGTCGTCCTGGCACCCGGAACCACCAAAAGTCAACCGATCGATCCCGGACATATTTCATTTTTTTGTACCCGATTTGTATTCATTTGAACCCTCCTTAAAAAAATTTGTACCCTTCTCCTTTTTACGGAAAATCTAATCCCCCGTCCGGGTGCTGTAAAAACGTCGTCCCGGCACCTAGCGTCTGCTTTGAACATGCAGTGCTTGGTGTTTTTAAAAATCTTTATTTTTCGGTTTATCCACTTAATTGTAATTACTTTAAGATCAAATTAGTATTTACATTAGAACCTAATGATTAGGTGATTATTCGCCCGTAGATATGGTCTACAACATTTTAACTATATTTTTTGGGTGATATAAGTTATGACTTTTCGGGTTCATATAATTATTAGGTGTTTACAACCTGCCCACACTGCTCGTGTTTAGATGATAGATTTCATAATATAGCACTATAGTATACGGTCCTGGTATCTATATTCAATATTGTTATTTGACAAAAATACAAAATTACTTTGTTTTATTTTACTAAATAATAAAGTGTATTAACTATTATTCTCAAATTCTAAATACAACATTACAGCATCAATGCCTTATAAAATAATCTAAAGTTTAAAATTCCGAATTTGCTCATGACTCACGTCGATTACCTACTAGGTAATTTAGTAATTCAGTATAATATTATAAATATCACTTAGAAGAAATATTATGTATACACTATATGTATCATAATAAATGTTAAGATATTATTAATAAATGTTCGTGATGTGTAATCATAGCACATTAGCACGTAAATAAATGTATTTAGGTAGGTTCTGTTAATTTTAATTTTAGAACACACGGTCTATAATCATTAATCAAACCAGTTTATTTATATATAGACATACATTAATATAATATAAATAAATGACTATAATAAGTTATCACTTTTTCCATCAGTGTTACACAGGCAGTGTTAGTTGGTGAACTAGTGCGAATACCCATCATAGATTTACCATATCTACTTACATAATATAGCCACATTATAGATCTTCAAAATGGGGAGGCATTCAAGTGTTCCTACTTCTTTGATTAATAATGCTATTATGAAGTACCAAAAAGAAATAGTGGGTGAAAATGATACAAGTAACTAAACAATAATTATTATTATTTTAATATTACATATTTTGTACAATTTGTACACATTTAAAAATATATTTTTATTACATTTTCAATTATATATTCATAAACGGTTTGCTCAATTTAGAAACAAATTCAAAAGTATTATAAAATGTATTGGTATTATTTTGTCAATTTCAAATAAATCTAAAGTAAATTATATCATTTATATCCAGACATTTTAGTTAAATAGTGTTAAATATTGATTTAACAATAATTTATTGGAATTAAATTTAAACAAGACCAAGTATGTATGCTTTAAAGTAAGTATAATATATTTAATAAAAATAATACTGATAATAAAATACATTATACATATTATACCAATATTCATCATTTTTACAATGGTTGAAACTAAGCTTATGTTGGTTTTGATTATAACAGGTAAATAATATTAAATATATTGGTTTATAATTTATATTATATTATTATGATGAGAAACTTAAAAAAAATAGTTAATTTATAATAGGTATCAAATATCAATCTATCAAGAATAATTAGAAACATTTTTATATTTTAAATTTTAATATATTAGGTAGGTACCTAGATATATATTTAGGTATATTCTTTATATAATTTACTTTTATGTTTGTTATTCCACTTACGCAGATTTATTCATAAAAATATTTACTAACAAAATTAATAATTTATCAATTTTAAAAAACAAAACGTTTTGTTTGCAAAATAAACAATTAATTAATAATTTGAATACAGTGTAATATTCATTATTTATAAAAGGTATACCATGCAAATCAGCAAAAGTATGGCAAGACATAGCGGACGAGTTGAATGTCCATGGATTTACCACGGCTGCTTCGATATATCTACGAGTTGCTCTAAATCGAAATGACATTACCAATACACTAGGACTAAAACTTAAATCGACAAAAAAACATGTATCAAGAGCTGATGGTATAGTGGAAGGTAATATTATTTAAGATGAAATTCTTGTATGTTGAAAATTTACATAAATATTTAAAGCTCAGTATGATTATTGAAAAATTATCAGTCTTTTGATACATTTTTGGTATAATATTGTAATTTTAAGAACATTATACCCTATTTGTAACTAGTTTCTTGAAATTATGTTTTTTCCAATTTAAGTTAAGCAATTTTTTTATATACTTATTATAAAATAATACATTATCATTATTAGATAAATAATTACAAAACTGAATGCAACCAATATAATATGTAGCAAATTGTTTTTATTGATCAATAGTTTTACAATGAACATTTTATATTTATGAAAATATTCTATATCTTTTTTTTTTGGAGTGCCCATGTGAGATAGTGCACACTCATAAATTTAATGTGTTCTTTAATTTAGTTATAACATTTATTATTTTAATTATTCTTGTTAGATTATGAACATTTAGATACTGCTGAAGAACAAGAGTACTATAGCTCAGACTATTATGAGCATGATGGTAAATTTGAAAAACTTGATTTTTGTATAACATTTTCACCTGATGAATGGGACTCAATTAAGCCCAGAAGAAAACCGTACCATGAAAAAAGAGGCATACGAGATTATGATATTTTAACTCCATTCACTTGGAGTAATGTAATTCAAGAGCACTTTTTTTTGCATTCAAGGCTTCCTTGTGCCTTATCATTTAAAAAGGCACAGATTACAGTGACAGGAAAATTCTTTATAACAGTTCGGGGACGTTGTGTGGACTGTGGTTCAATATTTGATGGAATTGTTGAGGATATTCCATCTGAAAATGCAAGGTAATAAAATAATACATGTTAAATATAATGCATTTGTATGAAAATCCGTTACCTAATAATAATATACTCGTATTACCATAATTAGGTATATATTATACACAATTTATGATTGTCAAAACTACTTAGGTAACCTAATAACATAATAAAAAAATAACATTGTTTACAGTTATGATGAAATGCATTTATACTGGGAATTTTAATGATAGTCATAAAAAAAGGCGGAAATTAATGGGTTCAGCTAAGGAGAAAGCGCTTATTTCTGTAATCGATAAAGGAATTGCTCCATCTGTATTTACAAGAAGAGAAGCTAATGAAATTATGGTTGAAGGTAAATTAAAATTAAAATAATAAAAGTAATTTTTAAAAAACTATAATAGCTTATAATTATAATAAAATATTGTTTTAGGTGATGTTTTGCCTGCTCATATCCCTAGTTCAAAAAGTGTTAGACAAGCAAAAAGCAAAACAATATTAAGTACTAGATTACACGATGATCCAATCATTGGATTAGGTATTTATAAAAGAAGTGACGGATATGGAGAAGCAATTCAGGACATTGGGTTTGATAAATTTTTTCTACATTTTTGGAGTGATCTTCAAATTAAGATATACAGAGATTCTTATACAAAAATGCAGCCGGTGACTATTAGTTTTGATGCTACAGGAGGAGTCTGTAAAAAAATTAAAAGATATGATAATCAACTTAGTGGGGCAATATTTTTATATGAAGGTGTGATGAACTTATTTGGTGAAAGTTTTAGGGTTTTGTCCATGTTATCAGAACAGCACGATAATGTATCTATTTTTTTATGGCTTAAACGCTGGCTTAGACATGATGTGAAACCTCCTAAAGTAACTGAATCTGATCAATCTTTACCATTGATGTCTGGTATAGTGCAAGCTTTCACACAATATAATTCTCTTGAAAAGTATTTGGAAGTATGCTTTTTAATATTAAGCAGTAATATAAAGCCTAAAATACCAACATGTTTTGTACGAAATGATATAAATCATTTCATTCATTTAATCACCCAATGGCCACCCTTAAAAAAAGCTAAACACTTCAGTAACAAGGAATTATTCTCTCGTTCAATGGGGCTACTTGTATATTCTACTAGTATGAGTGAAGCAGAACAAATTCTAGAGGCCATGTTTATTGTTGCATTCAGTCCATCCGATGACAAAATTATTGATACTAATGAATTCACACCATGTCATAAATCCAGAGAATTTTTGAGAGAAAAAATAAGAGGAAGTAGTATGACATTATTCAATAACCAGTTCAATGAAAAAAATATTGAACGATTAAACACATTTGATATTGGTATTTATGAAAAGGAAATTGAAGAATTTAACTGTTTAAGATCATTTAAGGAATGGACAAAATCAATAGCAAATAGATGTAAAATAAACATTGAAAATATTAAAGGTATTGGTGACAATGCACAATTCGAAATTGAACTTGAAACATACATAGTTAATGCAATGAAGCTCTTTCCTTGTTGGTAGTCTATCATGGTTTCATCTTTTGGTTATGGGGATCCAAATGTTTCTAGTTCCAGAGTTGAAAGTAATTTTAACCAATTAAAAAATAGACTTTTCAAACAACAAGTAATGCCAATAAGATTGGACAGTTTTATACAAGAAATACTTCCTTATTATAGAGGTGATAATTTATTGCATCAAGGGATGTCCCAGAAGACGACTGATATACATGAAACCTCTCAGAATCCAGAAGCTTTCAATATAGCAAATGATAAACATATTGATGAAGATTCAAATGTTAATATTGAAAACAACTGTATTACTAGTGCTCATTTTGAAGAAAGTCATGGTATTAGTTTGAAACAAAATAATGAATTTATAACCTATAACCACCCTATACAATTTAACTCCAGTGTTCATATTAATCATGACTTTAATAATACCTGTAGTCACTCTGAACAGGAATTTGATGCTATAGTTCATACATCAGGACTTGTATCTCCTACTCATAATGCTATTTATTCAAACAGCTTAGTGCTTGATGAACATAGTCATAAATGTTTAATGTGTGCAAATGGACACATACCAACCGGTATGCATCGTTGTCAGTTATGTAAAAAAGCATTGCATTTGTTTGGTTGCTCAGTGCCTGCAGATCAAACAGAAGAAGGTTGTGGAGAAGCTCGTATATGCTTGAAATGTAACGACACAAATAAATCAATTGATTTAGAAAATAAAGCAACAGAAAACTGGAAAGGGCAAGGAACACTAAAAGTTTCCCAACCAAAAAAACGTTCAGCTAAATCATACCTCAACAAGCAGCCAGCTTTTGAACATATAATTTTCAATAAAAAGGGACTTTTTAAACCAATTTTTCATCTTAAGAATGGGAGCTCACTTTGTCATAACCCCATTTTAATACCAGGCACAGGAAAATTATTTTTCAGTAATACATGTTCAGCAGATTCAATTTTATCAATTTTAGCATGCTCAGCTGCTGATAGCAAAGGCTACAAAAAAATATTAACACGCACCAAATTAATAAATAATACATCTAAATTTATTTTAAAAATGATAACTCAATGTAGTTTTAAAAATATTTACAAAGAAAGAGCATTGTTGTTATTAAATCATTTTGAGAATAATATGCAAATGTTGGTTGGAGGATTGAAACAATTGGATATAATTGGAACCATAAAAAATGTAGCAGAGAAGTTATTAGAAGAATTCCCATCTTATCGCCGGATTAATGAGTGTTCAGATTTTATGTGTGAAAATTTTAGTACAGCAGAAACAAGTTCAACAGTCATATCCTTGAATGCATTTGATGGACAGATTGATTTAGAAACAGAAATTCTTCGTTTTTATTCATTAACATGTGAAGTCTGTACAGTTCTTAAGTGTGGTAAAAATAGAAATATTGAGGTAGAACCAACCAGTCATTTATTAATTGAACTGGTATCTGTTCCCTTAGGTAAATTCATTTTGAATACAATGTTTTACACTGTATTATGTACCACTGAATATTTATTTTTGTTTACAGACTTACATACATCAGTCAGCTATACTCATGATCAATCAATAGAACAGAATAAAATATATCAAAATTATGGCGGTGTAGTAATAAAAATGTTGGATAGTTTACCTAAAAATATATGCATACATAACAATGATTTCATCCTTCGAGGTATAATTGCATTTAACGCTCCAGAAAAAAGTAGTCTAAGGATAAATTCTGGACATTACTAGGATATGCTCATAGATCAAATGGTGACTGGGAAGTATTTGATGACACAAAAGAAAAAATTATAAAAGTTAGTGAAAAAAAGATGGTAAATGTTGAATTTTTAATATATACAATATAAAAAATGAGTATATGTACTTCACAATACAAATAATTGTTACAGAAATTCAGTGTTATTTATTTATATCTATTCAATTAGTGATACACATACTTAATGGTTCTAACATTTATATAAAAATGGGAAGCTTTCCTTGGGCACCCCTGTGCCACAGGTAATTTAATTTTAAAAAGCAAAATATATCCCTTAAATATAATTCAGCATCATACAAATTTAAAGGAAATAAAATAATATTAATTAATTTGAATTAATTCAACTATTTCATTTGTAATTTATTTACTTTAGCTTTTATAAAAATTAACACAAATATGAAATAATTGTATTTATTGTAATATAAACAGTTAGTTAATAACAAATAAATAATATTAGTAATCTAACCTAACAACCTATCTTTTCAATTTTAATTTAACATACACAATGAGAAGAAAATGTGTTGTTCCTTTTAATGGAATATAAATACTATTAATTTTTGATACTTAATTATTATGATGTTGCATGGACCTACGTATCTATGAAAAATTCAAAATAATATTAAATGAATTAAGAAAAAAAAATGCAATAATAATATAGGTACTTGTATTAAATTGTTTGTAAAGCAGTTAAGTGTATAGCACATTTTTAAGTAGAAACCTTATTACAGAAATAACTAAGTGAAAAATAGTTCAGAAACGTCTAATGTGGGTAAAACTAACATTCAAAACCGAGGAAGAAGTTCTGAAGTTAAGTTAGTATCAAGTGTACCCAGTGGCGTATTTATACATTAAGCGCCCTGGGGCAACATTTTTCTAGCGCCCCCCCCCCCCACAAGAAATATACATTTAATATTTTTTGTAGATAATAAATATATTTAAAATAATTATTTATAAACTTCAACAATTAACAAACAATATTTAAAAATATTTATTTATATTTTTCGACGTGCACGGTCTTGTGCAAATTCTTGAATAATATTATCATAGCTTATTGTTGTAGTGATATCAGCCTCTATATTCATAATTGCTAATGCAGATAACCTTTCTTCTCCTATGCTTGACCTTAAGTATGATTTTATACGTTTTAGGACTGAAAAAGATCTCTCGGTTGAACAGTTGCTAACTGGAGTGCATAACAACATTCGCAAAGCAATATCCACATAAGGAAAGATATCCTTTAGCTCATTTTTCCTTATAAATATTAACATATCTTGTATACTCTGTGGAGGATTGGAAATTGTTTTTATGTAGCTGCCAAAATGAATACATTCATTGGAAAATGAAGTTCCCAAATCTGTATTATATTCATTTCTTAAAATATCAGCAGATATCCTAATGTCTGCTGCTGTCAATTCAGTTAATTTAAAAAAAAAGGAATAATTTTTTAAAAGGCTGTCATATGCAATTTTTCTTTTCAACAATTCTGACTTCAATTGATCTAAAATTACAAAATATGTATTTATTTTAAAATCAGTGACAATGTTTTCTGTTGAACTGTCATCACTACATTTTTTAATTTTTTTTTGTCGTTTTGCAGTTGTTCTGAAGTTCATAATACCACATTTATCAATAGCAGTATTTTTAAAATTCGAATAGTCTTTATCTGTACGAACATCACCAACATAGTTAATTAGTGATTGATAAAGCTCAACAACAACACTTAAATCAATATTTACACTTTGAAGTTTTTTGCTAACTATATTAAACCTATGTAATATGTCTCCCCAAAAAATTGATAAGAAGGATGTCTCTAAAGATTTAAGTATTTTGAGTATGCCATTTGCTTCACATCGAATAGCTGGTTTTTCTTTTTCATTTCCTCCAATCTTAATTAAAGCATTTTCAATAGAAGACCAATTTTTATTCAATGAATGACACGCATCATCTCTTGCAGACCACCTTGTATCTGACATTCTCTTGATTGAAGAATTTAAAATCTGCCAACGGTAAGTTGATGCCGAAAAGAATGTGTACAAGTTTTGAAGAAAGTTAAAAAAATGAATAGCTTCTCTACAACAGCTAGCCGCATTTTGTCCCACTAAATTTAATGAACGAGCCGAGCAGGGAACAAACTTGGCCAATGGATTTATCAGTTTTATTCTAGCTTGTAATCCAGAGTAACTACCTGACATGTTACTCGCATTGTCGTATGACTGCCCCCTTAAATAGTTAAGATTCAAATTGTACTTATTCAGAATTGTTATCACTGCTTCAGCCATATTTTCTGCTTTGTGTCCAACATTATTCATAAAACATAAAAAACGCTCAAATACATTTCCACTTTCATCAATATATCGTACAACTAAAGAAAGTTGATCAGTGTGGGTAATATCAGGTGTTGAATCAACACTTATTGAAAAATATCGTGAAGTATTGACATCCTGAATAATAGTATTTTCTACTTTTTTAGACATTAATAAAATAAACTGCTCATAAATATAATATGATAAATATGAGGTATGACCTTTACCAGGATTACCGTTTGTGGAAATATGGTTTGAGATAAAAGGGTCAAATTCAGCTAATAACTCAAGTGCCATCATAAAGTTTCCATTATGTGGACATCCAATTTTTGAAGTATGTCCTCTGAATGCTAAACCTCTTGATGCCAATGTTTTAACAATTGCCACTACTCTTTTTAAAACATTGATCCAGTACATACGTTCATTTTCAATTTGTTGTATTATTTGTTGATCAATTCTTTGAAGTATTTGTCCTCGGTTTTTCATTGCTAGAATATTTGAACGATGTTTTAAGGAATTTTCATGTTGTGATATGAGCTCATCGGCTCTTTTCCAGTTTGAAAATACTTTTGAAGCAAATGAAGGTGAATTTAGGTTTCCAAACAACAAGCATGGGATACAGTAAATTACACCCTTACTTTCTGAATACAAAATGAAATTACGTTTAAATGAATCACCATTAGTTAGTCTTGTATTCCAATAGTTTTTATTGCAAAACCTTAAAGTTATATACAAAATAAGGTTGTGTTATTACAATATTATAATACTATAAGTTACTAAAACTTAAATTTTTACCTATAGTAGGTTTTAGTAGATCCTTTGTGAACTTTTGTATATGCTCGCTTAGACTTGGTAAAATTTAAATCATTTAAATCTTGAGAAAATCCGTTTACACAAATATATTCTATAGTTAACTCGTTTATTTTCCATAAAGCAGGATCACATCTATAAGAAATAATGACTATTATATTTTAATTGATTTAATTAATCTATAAGTACTAATATAAGTGACTGGTATGTAAAAGCATTATGAAGACACTACAAGCACTGAACATGGTTATTTTAAAAGAAAACTAATAGTAATTTTTTTTTAATCACTTAATTCCTGTATAACTATTTCATAACATCTACTAAATGAGTACACAATAAATATTAGAATAGTATTTGTGTTAATATTTATATTAAAAATATTAAAATAATATAGGTACCTAGGTATCTTACAAGTAATTATTCAAATATTAACATACAATTATTTACCCAGGATTATCATTAGGCTCAAGCTCAAACAAAACATCAGCAATAACTTCATTATTCTTAGATAACAATATATCAGTATTTATCTCAGAAACACTATCTATTAAACAATAAAATACAATTAATTAATTGCAAATATAAAATAGCTAAGCACATTTTTAATTTACTTTCTGTCTCAATATTTCCACTAATTTGTGTAGGTTCATGCTGTTCAGAATTATTTACATTTAAATAATCCGGGTTCATTTGTATTTGTGTACCTTGGTTTAATATCTCTAGTTTATCATCTGTATCTATTAAACAATAAAATACAATTAATTAATTTCAAATATAAAATAGCTAAGCACATTTTTATTTTACTTTCTGTCTCAATATTTCCACTAATTTGTGTAGGTTCATGCTGTTCAGAATTATTTACAATTGAATAATCCGGGTTCATTTGTATTTGCTTACCTTGGTTTAATATCTCTAGTTTATCATCTGTATCTATTAAACAATAAAATACAATTAATTAATTTCAAATATAAAATAAATATATTTTTAGTTTAATTTCTGTCTCAATATTTCTACTAATTTTTGTAGTCACGCTGTCCAGAACTGCTTACATTTGAATGATTCAGGTACATATTTCTTTAGCGTATGGTATAAATGACTTGAGTAAAAAATTGAAATTTTTGGCTTATAGTATTATTAGAATCAAACATTTTATATTTGAATATTTTGCTGGTACAGATCACGTACCTAAGTCAAAACTATAACTCACTATTTGTGAAATTTTTTTTGGTCTTAACATTTTAAGTCACATTATATTGGGTACAAAACACTAGTTAAGAATTGAAAATCTATCTTTAGAGAGAATCTAATTTTAAAATGGTCTTAATATCTTGAGTCAAGTTTAGTAATAATTTTAAATGAATGCCCCGGATAGTGTAAGTCATATAAAATAAAAATCCAACTATCTTAAGTCACTTAAAAGTAATGAAGAATTGATTTTAAAGTTCCACTTTATAGTTAAACCATGAAAGTTGGTACATTGAATATTAAATTAAATTAATTATCAGCCCAGACACTATTGTCTACGATTTTGAATGATTTTTCAATGTTTTGATTAATCTTCCTGAAAACTAGTCGTTTTGACTTAAGACATTTATACTATACGCCAAAGATTTATTTGTGTAGTTAGGTTTATATCTCTAAATCATCGAGGTTCAATTTAATATTATTATCCAAATTTATTATAATAATAAAAATTCAAAATATTAGTTTAGAAGTTTATTAGTTTTAATTGACTAAATAACTTCAACTAGTTAATTAAATACAAATATTGGATCATTATAAATGTCAATAGTTTTAAGTTACCTATATAACTTATAAGATACTAGCTATAGTCAGATAGTCCATGCTAGGAACAATATTGTAATGGTCCAATATTAAAGGTTAATATAAAAATGCGAGTTTGGCATTTTTTCAAAACAGGTAGGTAGGTATTTTAAATAGTTAAATATAAAATAAGATGCATTGTAAATAATTTTGAAATTTGAAAATTTGAAACACCCAGTTATTATTTGTACTTTAATAAAAACTACTTATAGTACTTACTTGGAATAGTTGATGGCTTGAATATACCATCTAATTTTCTACAAGTCTTAATTAATTCAACATGTTTTAATTGTTTTAATTTTGCTTGCTTTCTATATCCTGAACCACTAAGCTTTTTATTAGCTCCCATATTGAAAATCCACGTATAATCTATTACGGAATATAGTTATAGTAATATAAAATATATAATTTATAATACTTAATCACGTAAAGATCATAGATAAACGTATAATATTGTACTTACCAAATACCAGTTAGTATGTCTAAAGCCGTAGTTTATAGAAGGAATACTGGACAACTGAATACTAATTTTGAAAGTAGAACGAATTATAAACAATAAAAACTAAAGACTAAATTACGTACGCGTAGTAATGCGCGTTAATGCGTAGTCAATTTATTACACAACTACACAAGAGAGTCAAAGATTGACAAAAATAAAATAAAAGTAGTCGGCGACGATCGGCAGTCGACGATCGGGAAAATATTTATGGATAATAATAATATTATGTTATTTTTAACCTGTATTGACTGATAAAACGTAATGCCGCCACAGGTCATAAATATAAATATAAATCATAGATATTTATATCTGTGATTGTCGCAATCCCGTGCCGCTCATAGACCCGTATGAAAACCGTTTATAATCATATTAGACAATAGACCTTATTAGTTATGAGTATTTAGGTCTATGTTTAATTATAATCTTTATTATACTTTGTATTTTGAATAATAATTATATCAGACAGAATGGAAAGATTTCAATCTTATGTAGTGGTAAACTATAAAAATTTTTCCGCCCCCTAAAATTTGGCGCCCCGGGCATTCGCCCCAGTTGCCCCCCCTTAAATGCGCCACTGAGTGTACCAGATCTGCTGAATGTTAATTCAATGATAAATCATCGTCTATATTTTATAGTATAGACTCTATACACTGATTATACACTATTAGTTATGATATTGATATTGTCAAGGTAAACTGTAAAGTTATAAACATGATGTACAGAATATTTTATTTTTGAGATAAGATCTATGAAAATTATTAAGTGGGTAATATATTAGTTATTAGTAATACCTAACTAAAACTAATAACTAATACACATTACTAGTTCATTATACTGCCACCCTTTGTACATAAGCTTAGAATTTTAAATTTTAAAAATTGTTTAGTTGCAAGAATAACTGTTTAATAATTAATCACTAGAATAATCAATGGTTGTAGGAATTTGTCGAGGGCTTAGTAAATATGTAGTACCTACAAATTTCTTGAGATGTAATAACTACTTTTATAACATTCTGGATTCATAAACTTGAAGATTATGGGATTAATAAAGGTATTTACAACTGCTTACTACAAAAATATTTACTATAAAATTGGTTAAACTGGTTAAAGATAGAAAATTATGACTGACTAGGAGTTATGTAGGTGTCAAGATGACTCACAAAAATACATCTTAAATGATAGCCGGATCGATAAAACAAACTATATAGTGCACCAGTTTGGATTTTCTGCTATTTTTAAGGAATAAATGAAGATTTATTTGTAAACTAAATCAAATGCCCAAACATTTTTTTCTAATTCTTATACTAAGAAAGTGAGGTAGGTACATACCAACCAAAAGATGAACCAAAATTATAAATTAAAAAAAACTAATTTAGTATTTTAAAAACACTATAAATTATAAGTCTTTTCAAATTATTGTAACACTGGAACATTGTTATTTATAAGTGTAAAACATACAGTTTTCGATTCCACCGAAACCTCACTATACATTTGAAAAAGTTAATTTTGTTGGCTCCAAAACCAAATCATTTTATTTTGCTCGAAGTAGTTTTAGTTATTATAATTATAAGTAATAATGTAATAATAGTTCTATAATGGAGTTATGCAGTTGATTCTATATCAAAAACGTTATTTTGTTTAAAAACTTGAATATTATACATTTCTTTTAGTGAAATAAAACAAAGTTAGGGGGGACGGTGTAGCCGAGGCTATAAGGCGTCGGTTGCGATTCGAACCCAGCTACCGGTGATTTTTCGCTCCGGGAAAGTCATGATTTCTGGAGCGAAAGGCCGCCTAGAAGAAACCTACGGGTGCCCCTTTAGAAATTCTGCCACCACAACACACGTGTTTCAACCTTACCGTTCCAAACCCCACAATCAGCTAATGGCCATAGTCGCCGGGCTTAATAGAGATCAATTAAAAAAAAAAAAAAATTGAATATACCAGGCCCAAATACTATAGTGCTATATTATGAAATCTATCATTTAACCACGATCAGTGTGAGCAGGTTGTAAACACCTAATAATTATATGAACCCGAAAAGTCATAACTTATATCACCCAAAAAATATAGTTAAAATGTTGTAGACCATATCTACGGGCGAATAATCACCTAATCATTAGGTTCTAATGTAATTACTAATTTGATCTTAAAGTAATTACAATTAAGTGGATAAACCGAAAAATAAAGATTTTTAAAAACACCAAGCACTGCATGTTCAAAGCAGACGCTAGGTGCCGGTACGACGTTTTTACAGCACCCGGACGGGGGATTTGGTTTTCCGTAAAAAGGAGAAGGGTACAAATTTTTTAAGGAGCGTTCAAATGGATACGAATCGGGTACAAAAAAATGAAATATGTCCGGGATCGATCGGTTGACTTTTGGAGGTTCCGGGTGCCGGGACGACGTTTTTACAGCACCCGGACGGGGGATACAATTTTGAGTAAAAGTTAGTGGGCTACAAAATTTATTGAGGAGGGTTCAAATGGATACAAATCGGGTACAAAAAAACAAAATACGTCCGGGATCGATCGGTTGACTTTTGGTGGTTCCGGGTGCCAGGACGACGTCGTCACAGCACCCGGACGGGGGATTTGGTTTTCCGTAAAAAGGAGACGGGTACACATTTTTTTAAGGGGGGTTAAAATAGATACAAATCGGGTACATAAAAATGAAATATGTCCGGGATCGATCGGTTGACTTTTGGAGGTTCCGGGTGCCAGGACGACGTTTTTACAGCACCCGGACGGGGGATTCAATTTTGAGTAAAAGTTAGTGGGCTACAACATTTTTTGAGAAGGGTTCAAATGGATACAAATCGGGTACAAAAAAATGAAATACGTCCGGGATCGATCGGTTGACTTTTGGTGGTTCCGGGTGCCAGGACGACGTCGTCACAGCACCCGGACGGGGGATTTGGTTTTCCGTAAAAAGGAGAAGGGTACAAATTTTTTTAAGGAGGCAACAAATGGATACAAATCTGGTACAAAAAAATGAAATATGTCCGGGATCGATCGGTTGACTTTTGGAGGTTCCGGGTGCCGGGACGACGTTTTTACAGCACCCGGACGGGGGATTAGATTTTCCGTAAAAAGGAGAAGGGTACAAATTTTTTAAGGAGGGTTCAAATGGATACAAATCGGGTACAAAAAAATGAAATATGTCCGGGATCGATCGGTTGACTTTTGGTGGTTCCGGGTGCCTGGATGACGGTTTTACAGCACCCGGACGGGGGATTCAATTTTGAGTAAAAGTGAGTGGGCTACAACATTTTTTGAGGAGGGTTCAAATGGATACAAATCGGGTACAAAAAAATGAAATACGTCCGGGATCGATCGGTTGACTTTTGGTGGTTCCGGGTGCCAGGACGACGTCGTCACAGCACCCGGACGGGGGATTTGGTTTTCCGTAAAAAGGAGAAGGGTACAAATTTTTTAAGGAGGGTTCAAATGGATACGAATCGGGTACAAAAAAATGAAATACGTCCGGGATCGATCGGTTGACTTTTGGTGGTTCCGGGAGCCAGGACGACGTCGTCACAGCACCCGGAAGGGGGATTTGGTTTTCCGTAAAAAGGAGAAGGGTACAAATTCTTTAAGGAGGGTTCAAATGGATACGAATCGGGTACAAAAAAATGAAATACGTCCGGGATCGATCGGTTGACTTTTGGTGGTTCCGGGAGCCAGGACGACGGTTTTACAGCACCCGGACGGGGAATTAGGTTTTCCGTAAAAAGGAGAAGGGTACAAATTCTTTAAGGAGGGTTCAAATGGATACGAATCGGGTACAAAAAAATGAAATACGTCCGGGATCGATCGGTTGACTTTTGGTGGTTCCGGGAGCCAGGACGACGGTTTTACAGCACCCGGACGGGGAATTTGGTTTTCCGTAAAAAGGAGAAGGGTACAAATTTTTTTAAGGAGGGTTCAAATGGTTACAAATCGGGTACAAAAAAATGAAATACGTCCGGGATCGATCTGTTGACTTTTGGTGGTTCCGGGTGCCAGGACGATGTTTTTACAGCACCCGGACGGGGGATTCAATTTTGAGTAAAAGTTAGTGGGCTACAACATTTTTTGAGGAGGGTTCAAATGGATACAAATCGGGTACAAAAAAATGAAATACGTCCGGGATCGATCGGTTGACTTTTGGTGGTTGCGGGTGCCAGGACGACGGTTTTACAGCACCCGGAAGGGGAATTTGGTTTCCGTAAAAAGGAGAAGGGTACAAATTTTTTTAAGGAGGGTTCAAATGGTTACAAATCGGGTACAAAAAAATGAAATACGTCCGGGATCGATCGGTTGACTTTTGGTGGTTCCGGGTGCCAGGACGACGTCGTCACAGCACCCGGACGGGGGATTTGGTTTTCCGTAAAAAGGAGAAGGGTACAAATTTTTTAAGGAGGGTTCAAATGGATACGAATCGTATACAAAAAAATGAAATATGTCCGGGATCGATCGGTTGACTTTTGGAGGTTCCGGGTGCCGGGACGACGTTTTTACAGCACCCAGACGGGGGATACAATTTTGAGTAAAAGTTAGTGGGCTACAAAATTTATTGAGGAGGGTTCAAATGGATACAAATCGGGTACAAAAAAATGAAATACGTCCGGGATCGATCGGTTGACTTTTGGTGGTTCCGGGTGCCAGGACGACGGTTTTACAGCACCCGGACGGGGAATTTGGTTTTCCGTAAAAAGGAGAAGGGCACAAATTTTTTTAAGGAGGGTTCAAATGGAAACAAATCGGGTACAAAAAAATGAAATATGTCCGGGATCGATCGGTTGACTTTTGGAGGTTCCGGGTGCCAGGACGACGTTTTTACAGCACCCGGACGGGGGATACAATTTTG